TTTATATTATAACTTATACTTAAATATGATTTATTTTAACAAATGTGGGGATTGAATTTCTCCCTATAAAACGGAGTAATTTTCACGGTTTAATTAAACATAACATGAAAAAAAATAATTTGATAGAATACTCACTTCATGCCAATAGAAAGAGAATCAACTGTAAGTCACATGTATTCCTATGAGCAAATAAAAGTGTAGATGCATTCACTTGCTTCTAACATTTGCATTAGTATAGAAACTCTGCCTTTTGTATGACACTTCTAATTGCTATTAAACTTACAAAAGGTCTTTGAAGCTTAGTCCAAATATAAATAAATATCGTAATACCACCAAATCAATGAAGCATATGGAAGAGTGAGCCCAAAATTGAATTTCCTGCAACTTAATTGATATTTAATACTATTCTTTACGATGTTTTATTCCTTAATCAATTAGGAAACTAGTAACAAAGGTCTCTACATCTTTAGTTGCATTCTCACCCCCAACTTCGTAGTAGTTTCACTAATTAAATTGCTTGATATAACAAATATCAATTATTCTCAAAAACTAAAAACATAGAATTAAAGAGTCTAATAAATCGGAGTGATAGAGTGCGATATCATCACACCATCCAGAACTTGAATTCCAATTTTAATATCGCTCGATGAATTTATTTTATAATTATTACCTCTTTGTTACGGAATGTTAATTGTAGATCTTGTCGTTTAATTTTTATAAATTGGAGTATAATGAACCAAGTTGGGATCATATGGTACTGTTCTTCTTCTTCTTCTTTTTTTTTTTTGATCGATTTATTGTAGATCGATAATTATTTCTTCCACTGTTAATTTATAGCCATTTAACATCAAATAATTGAATTGTTGTCTTTTGATATTTTGGACAATATTTTCCTTCGGAGAACCATAGTGTTACTAAGTTTAGCATTGATTAAGATTAATAACGAATGGAAAAAAAAAATAGAATCCACAAAAATATCTACTAATTCATATTATGTACAAGTAAAATAGAGCATGCATTAAGGTTTTTCCACTTGTAATGAGTCAAAATAGTAAATAATAAATTCTTATAGTATCGTGAATTTATAGCGCGATAGGTCAGTGATTAAATATTTACAAAATAATTATTATATGAATTAGCATAATAATTAATAGAAACTAAACTCAGAGTAAGAAGAAACTAAAATTTAAATAATTTCCTTTTATAATTCGATTTAGAATTTATTCATTTCACTGTTTAAAATATATATATTTATATATAACAACAAGAACAGATTCATTGTACCTAATCAATTAGTTTGTACAACCCTTTCGAAGAAAGCTACGTCCAATATTTATTTTTGTGAAAAGTTGACAGTCTATATATAATTATATGGTCAACCAGTAGTAATATATAGATAGTTCAATGTTAATTGATGTTCTTTTTTAAACTTTGATTGTTTCTCCCAAGGAAGATACCCACCAGCGGATTTAGTCATGTAAATACTAAAAAAAAAAAGGTTAAACCCTAACCTTAAGGGTCCCCACCACCAGTGGATTTAGTCGTGTAAATACTAAATACACTATACCGCGTGTTAAAAGGTGTGAGAATTGTTGAAAATTATATTAAGATTATTATATCTTAATTTTCAATTTTGGTTTAATTAAAATTTTAATTTATAATGTAACATATATAAATATTTGAATGGAGGTAATGAATTATTTAATTTTACTTTATTGTGGGGGTTAATTTTTCCCTATAAAATGGATGTGATTTCATTGTTAGATACTTCATAAAAAGATACAACTTGAAAACATAAAAATACTCTCTTTCTATTTCATATTGTATTCCTATAATTTTAGCAACTCGGTGAAAGATTCGTTCTTTATCTCCCTGTGGTTGGATCCATAGATAGAGAATCGACTGTGAGTCACATGAGTTTTATTTTGGAATCATATAGTGCCGAAAGTACCTGCACGAAGAGGAGGCAATGTAACTTTCGGACAATGTCTTTGGTGTGCCTTCTTAGAGCTTTAATTCTAACTATCTTCTAATTGTTGAATTATAATGTTTATATTATTATAATATTATTATGTTTATACAATTATTGAATTATGTTGCTTATATATATATTAGTTAATATATTTATTTACATACAAATCATCCATTTTTTCCAACAAGAATAAAACGGATAGATTAACAAAGAAAGAGTTAATACAACAATTGTTATACCGTCCAATTATGTTTATGTACTTCGTAGAAAATGAACATAAGTTGAATGAATGAGCGTAGGCTTTTTTTTCCAATAAAATGAAATTTTTATTTCACTTCATAAAATTGGTTCAAAAATAAAATTTCCTTAATAAAATTGGGGAAGAATTTAGCCCACCTCAAAAAACATATGTATACATGATGAGTTATAATTTTAATCCGCCTTAAAAATATAGTTCTAGATACATCTTAAGTAGACTATTTGTGTGGAGACAGGAAATGAGTAATCTATATACATTGACTCTAATTCAGTCATTTAATTGTAATTCAATTTTGTTCAATTAAATAACTACACTTTAATATGGAGGATTGGGGATGGGATATCATGCCATTATTATGTAGATGCATAATGTTTATTGATACGCTTTTGGTGTGTGAAGATAAAGTTTTTGCTAAATTTAGCAAACCCTAACTTTGATTTAATGGAATGGGTCCTTTGTTCAGTGGGGAAAGAGTAAGAACCAATACGGGCTATAAATAATAATTCCACAATACATCATCATAAGTCCAAATTTCAAAGTGGGACCCATCAGCCTCTTTTCAGGTTTCTATATATAACGAGGATAATTCCAAGTGTACATAATTTGGTTTACCAAATGGTTTACCTACTCTCGCAAACACGTGGACCCCGTGTGAATAAAATAATCCCAACGTGTGGTCCCCACATTCCTATTGTGAATGTATGTAAAGCATTAGGTAAAAAAAATTAGGTACATCTAGCATGGTCATGTGGGGAGATTAGTTAAGAAACAATAATTTACGTTCTCAATTTTTTTCATCAACCTTATATCAATTAGCACATTTTATCTTTGATTACCAAAAAAATATGTTAGATTGAATAAAAAGACTTATTCACTCATCGTATTTCTAAATTAATAAGATAAACAATAAATATAAAAATTCAACAAAAATTTCATGCATTAATAGATATTTGGATAGAAACGGTCATTAGAGAGATAATATATGCTAACTAATTTATATCTTAAAAATGTGCTAATTTTCAACGATGTCTAGTAAATAAAATTTAGCATATATTTTCTCTAATGACAATATATTTTTAATTTTTAATTAGCATATATTTTTATAAGCATTTTCTTAACTTTTTCATCGTATTTTTATCTTCGATCTTGTATTAATCAGCACTTTATATCCTTGATTACCAAAAAAATATGTTGGAATGAGTAAAAAAGACATATTTGCTCATCATATTTTCAAATAGTAAGATAAATAAAAATATAAAAACTCAACAAAACTTCTTGCGCTAACAGATATTTGGATAGAACCAGTTATACAGGGCAACATATGCTAATTGATTCAAGATTAAGCCCCTGTTTGATCCACATTATTTTCAAAATATATTTTTTTCTCTTCTTTTCAACAACACATTTTTCAATAAAATAATATAACACATAAATTCAAAACTTTTCCTTCTTTGTTAACCACACATTCTCCATCAATTTTACTATTTCAAAATGCATTTTTAGGTAAACAATAAAAAAAAAAAAAAAAAAAAAATTGGACTCAACCATGCTATAAATGGGTTAAACCCCTTTACTAGGGCCACAAAGGTTCATTTTTGAGTAACGTTAAGGATATAAGTAAAAATGAGTGAAAATTATGAATCTTCATTATAGTTGAAATGTAGTACATTTAACAAAATTCATGGTGTCGGTATGATTTGCCTCGACAAAAATTCAGACCCGTCTCTAAATTAAAATGGTTTGGAAATGTTCAGTGCCTTTGCCATCTTGAGCCCAATGCAAATGGAGTGGAGGGCCTGTCCATGGACTTGGGCCAGCCTATCATATTCTACTTTAGATAAATAATCAACTTTTTTGCCACACTCTAATTTTTTCTGTAGAAAACTTAAAATCTAAAATAAATTGTATTTCAATATCGTTTATTGAACTTATGCCTGATTTGGGATGGCTAAGCATTTCAATCCACTCCATAACGTGTCATTCTAAGATCGATCCATATTTAACAATAATTTTCAATAAGTTTCTTCTAAAGAAACAAATACTCCCAAAAGGGTTCCAAAATCTGGAAAACCTTGCACCTAATCACCATTTTGTTGGAAAGAAAAAACAAGAATGCCAGATTCAACAAGATCATTTGATCAAGAATTTTTCTAAAACTAGCCTACAACATGGCACAACCATGCCTATACAAAGCCACCAAGTCCACTCAATAGCCTCCTTTTACCTTTCTAACGAATATTTCTCGAACATAAGTAACTCCCTTATTTTCTTGCATCTAAGGCATCTAAATAATTTTGGAAGAATTTTCTTTCGTCTTCTTTGCAAATACCATACAACAATGAGAAGAGGTTGAACATCAAGAATGTAACATGAAAACAAAGAGAGGAGAGTCACAAAAAAACTATGTCGTAAAATCATATCAATTGCAATTAAGCTGGTTTGCCGAAATTTTTTTGCCACCTCGGTTGACATTTTCTCACATGTGCGTGGATCTTGCGTGGATAAAAAAATCCAAAACAAAGTGGCTCCATTGTGAGTATCGATGGGATTGTATGTTAACCATTTTCTGACAACATAGCATAGTTGAAATTATATACATATAAAATGGGATGAGTAACTGTTATAAGAATGTAGCACGACTGGCCTTACCTTCCTTTTTGGGCTCCATTTTAATGAAATTTTGAGAAAAATATATGTTTAAATAATAAATTTTTAAAGCTAAAGAGGAAGTAACGTGTAATATTTAGTTGATGGAGCCCGAACATAGGATGGTCTGGTGCCATTTCTGTAAATTCAAAGGCTGTAGATTCGCAAATCTCGGAAGTACATACGGCACACTATTTTCTTCCTAAAAACAGAAACTGGCTCATTCATAGTTCATCGTCCTCCACTAGCCCAAGCAAAATCTCCACCAAATGGCGGATACCGCCCCCGAAGAACCACCCCCGATTGAATCCCCATCAACCTCTTCAATTTCTCCGACAAAACCGGCGTCATCTACCACCGCAACCAGTTACCTCCACCCCCGCCGTGAGCCATTCGAGCACGGCCTTCTCCCCATCCCCAAACTCATTTTCCCCGACGCCACGCAAACCCTTTCCCACCTCAAATCGACCCTCCTGGCCGCCGATTCGTCAAACCGGGTCAACTCGGAAACCCTCGCCGGAGCTCTCCAGATCTCTCTCGACCATTCTCGGCTTATCCTCGAAACACTGGCTTCTGTTCTGCATAATGATTCTGATCCTTTGGTCAATGCCAAGAGTCCTCAGGAGATAGATTCGATTGGAGTTAATGTGTTTGATTTGCTGCTTTATTTGTATATACAGAGTTATAAGAGGTTGATTCCTAAAGGGCACAAGGATTCTGCTGCTGTTGCTGATGTTTGGCCCTCCACCTCTGCTTTTGACGGGTTTTTGTCTGCCCTTTCACCATTACAGGTGTTAAATTTTAGTTGTAAAACGCTATGCATTTTGATTTGTTATGATTTGATGTTATTTGAGAGTTTTCTGGTTCATTATTGTTGAATTTCGGTGTTTGAGGTGGGTTTGAATTTCTTGTTTTATGGCTGTTTCATATCTATAAGAATGCATTACTATATGTAGTGAACGAATAAATATTATTGCTTTCTGGATTAAAATGCAATTGGTTCATTAATTGTCTTGTCAGTTGAAATCATTAGGAACTTGTTTACATACATAATATACTATAGGAACATTCAGAACAATTATACTTGTTCATGATTTGGATGGGCGTGAGATTTAGGATTGAAATGCGTTCTGTTTAAGTCTTTTTGTTATATTTTAATTACTGTTTTGAGTATTAACTTGAATATTCGCTGTCCACTCAACTATGTTTTGAACTGCTGTCCCGATATGAGGTAGCAGTAAGTTGGTGTTGTAATCTTAACAATAGTAATTCTGGCTGTTCATAGTTTCTGTAATTAATCATTACATTTGTAGTATCATCACTGACAAGTGTGGTTCTATCTGTTGCAGCTTGTGCGTAGCAATAGTCGGCGATTTATGCCATCCCTGGCTGATGAAGAAGCTCATCAGCTGTCCTATTTGCAGAAGCACCTGGGAAATATTGTATCCCTTTTGGCAGACTCCGTAGATGGGGAAGCAGAAGACTCTCTTGTATGTAAATTTTTTGGGCTTAACCATTATGCACATGAGGCTAAGCTTCCATAGGCCTATTTTGCATTTGTTATGTTAAAATCATTTTTTATTCACCTATATTGAACAACTTGTAGCTAGATTAGTTTTATTCTCGGCAATATTCCTGTTGTTGGTGTAAGTTACCACATTTTCGTGGTGCCATATTTTCTCACTTCGAATTTGTGTGAGCTTGAGATTTTTACTGAAATGCAGATTTATCCTCTGTGTCAGGTTCTATCGATGGATAAATTTGAGCATCTTGGATTTCTGATTTACTTTGGAGAAAAGGGATCTGAGATGAGTCCCTTAAGCCAAAATTCTCAGTTTTTTGCCAATTCAGATCCCAACATGCCTGCTGTTCCTGTTCCTGCATCACAGGTTCTCGATTGGCTGCTACAAAATGTAGCCTCCACACTGGAACATATTTCTGAGAGAATTTCTTCAAAAGATATTGGGCCGAGCAGTGCCTGTGATCAGGATGTTACAATGGCTGATGTCTGCACAAGTTCAGCGAAGCCCTTAACCAGAGGTCCAAGCTTTATTGAGGGGATCTCTAAGTCATCATATGTAAAGCAAGCATCGGATCTGAAAGGCTCTACCGTAAAGGTGAAAATCTGTACTTTTGTGCATTTGCCCTCCCTTCTCTTGTTTTAGCGAAATTATGATTCAAAAACCATTGTTTTATGAATATTCAGTTCAATTGAGTTGAGAAAATCAGTTCGCAGGCCAATGTATGCGTTTTCAGTTGCCTAGATTAGTAATTATGAGTATTGAGGTGCTTAATGAATTTTAGTTTTGTGGTATACCCAAGCTGAAAATGAAGTACTTTCGAATTTGTTTTGTGAAGTTTTTAGGTATCTTGTTGCCTTGCTCAGATGAACCGAGCTGTGCTGAAATGGAATTATCTATGATGCATGGGCAGTTTGATGGGTCCCAATTTTCTGGAATTTTTTATATTATCTATGCTATGAAAGACTGAGATAGAAAATGGGTGGGAGGTTTGTCTGGCATAGCTAATTTTCTGTTTCTCTAGCAACCTCAATCTCCATCGCAATTCCTAATAGAAATGGAAAAAAGATGAAATTTATCTGAGTTACGATGAACTGTATTTTATGTGAAAATGTGAGTTGGTCAAAAACCGGAGTTAGATAAGGTACTTTCTAGCCAACATTGCATCTCATCTATTTGCATTGGGAAGCAAAATTGATAATGTAGCCTCTGCTTACTTGTGCTCTGGGCATGCACATTTCAAAATAAAATTTACTCATGTCAATGCAAGCAACTTATCTCTTGATCTCGACTTTTCAATGTTTGCAGGTTGTAAATTGCCATGAATCAGTAATTTACGTTTTAGCACCTCTGAGATATGCAACAGTCTATGGATGCTCTGATGCGACTATTGTTCTGGGAGCCGTTGGCAAGGTACTGATATGGTCAATTCTCAATAACACAATTTCTTTTGTACCTAGCTGGACATTAATATGCAAATTCAGGTACATGTGGTTTTGAAGCTTGATATAACCTGTGGTTCGGTCGTTTCTATTTGTACTGGCTGCACATGATTTTTAATTTTAAATACAGTTCATTTGAAGAGTCTTTGAGTACACCTTGAATATTTTTCTACTACAGGCTGTTAGAGTGGAACATTGTGAACGCGTTCATCTGATTACAGCAGCAAAACGTATATGCATTGCCAACTGTCGTGAATGTCTATTCTTCTTGGGAGTAAATCAACAACCTCTAATGGTTGGTGATAACCATAACTTGCAGGTGAGACGCTTCATTTTTTTCTGCACACATCTCAGCATCATGCTAGTACTGCCTCCTATTTCACAATTCTTCGGGCTAAGTTTTGTTGACAAGTGGTGCTAATTTCAAAATGCATGGAATAATGTATAAGTACCCTTTTTGCCTTCACCCCAAAAAAGGGTGGGGAAAATTGAAGGAAAAAATATCTTCACTTCACACACATCCCACTTGGTGACGCGCCTTATTCTTCTGCTATATATTGCTTGATAGCCCCAGAAAGTTGTCTGGAATCTGCATATAGTTTTTCTGCTAACAGATTTCTGACATTTCAGTCTCCTCGATGCAACCAAACATGGTTTTGAGCCCAAACGCTCAATGGTTGGTGATCTTGTATAATTTGTCATTCGAATGAATATTGAAATTAAATTTCTTCTCTCTTTTGTTTAATTTTCAACAGGTTGCTCCATATAACACATTTTACTCAAAATTGGAGGAGCACTTGAATCAAGTTGGCATTGACCCTAGTATCAACAGGTGGGATGAACCTGTGGCACTTGGAATGGTTGATCCTCACGACTCATTATCTCATCCTGCTGGTGTCTCAGATGTTCAAGCTGAATCTGCTACCTGCCTAGACCCAGATCAGTACACTAATTTTTTGGTATGTGCTTTGTTTCACGGAATATCTAGGTCCGTAAGATGTTTTAAATGGATTTAACCTTTGTTGATATGTTAATTCATTTATCATTTGTATTCTACACGAATGCTCACAGAACCTTGAATCTTCAGTATATAAACTCTAAATCTTTTGTTTATATGATGTAGTGGCCCATTCAGATTTTTGGTGTATCATTGATGTCAGCTTTTCTCAAGTTTTTAGATGTTTCTTCTTTAATATTCACATGCTTCACAATGCACAGATTCCGAACTGGTTGGGAAGTGAGCAAGACGGTTCCACAAAAGATAATCCGTTTCCTTTACCTGATGTGTACCTGGCTTCTCAACAGAGAAATGTATGTCCACTTCCCAATATTGCTCCTACAAAAGTTTTGAATGTTTTAGCTCCCCTCACCCAATTTTCTGTTTTCTTTTTGTGCTTGTTTTATTTTTAGGGGGAAGGGGAGGGAGGTTGTAAGGCAGGTTGTTATTTAGAATTTTGATTGACCATCCTTCAATTGTTAGTCTAATTTCAAATTTTCTGGAGTTATATTTTATTCTTGAACTTTCAGCTCAAAAATCTGGTGGAAGTTAAGCAAATTTTGAGGGAAACTCAGCTTGAAGACAGCCGGAAACGAGAACTATCAAGTGCTCTCCATGTATGCTTCAAAGACTGGTTGTACGGTAATGTCTTATTCTATACTTTGTGTTATTCCATATGCATTGGTATATCCTATCCATTCAGGATATAGGCATTCTTCTTGGACTTTGTATTTTCTTTTATTGTTCCTTGAAGTTTGCTGTATTGGAAATCAAGGGTTAATGCTATCTAAGAATTTGCCTAGAATAGTTTTCTGTATCCCCATCCCTCAAAAATAACAATAATAATATAAATACAAACACCACAAACATTTGATGCATAACCCAAATGGCAGCTGTTGTTTCAGCATAGGAAGTGGACCTCTTGACTGTAGATTAATCTAAATTATAAATGATCTGAATTGAGCAGTTATAATTTATTTTCACTTAACAGTTATTGCTAGCTTTTCATACTTGGGCAGATATGATCGTTATTTACTTGCCGTGGCATTAATTCCTAAATTACCTGTTCCCTTTTTGAGTTGTAGTTGGCATATTGGGCATTTGTTCTGCAGATGATTGTGCAATGCATGTACATTTCTCCTACAAGCCACTAAAACTTGCGTTATGAACACAACTTAAGGAACTTAAGGCTGCAGCTAACTACCAAAAGGCATTTTTGATGCACATTATTAGACAGAATCGGACAGGACACGAGCACACCAAGATTTTATACTATTTTTATACCTATCCCGTCCAACCTATTAAACATGCCATAACTTTCTTATCCTTTTCCTTGAGAATCTGTACCACATTATTCTTTTTATGTTCTTATTTGCAATTCTACCGGTTACATTCAAAGAGGGAATAATGGTTACCTAGTAAATGTGACGTGCTTTGACACTTTCTGTTTGCATGATTTGACAGCATCAGGAAATATCCGGCAGCTTTACTGCTTACAAAGTGATTAAGCAAGCCTGAAATTGAACTGAAAGGATGAAGTTCAAAGTTACTACTAGGTTTTGATTCGACAATCGACTAGTTCAAGTTCCTCTTGCCATTTTTGTTGATGCTAGAAGTCAGAGGGTAGCCGGAACTTTAGTACTACTGTTGACTTAACTACATCTAGTCAGTTCAGACTAATGAACTATTGTGCAGATTGCTGTTGGAAAAACACTTGCTTACTTGCAATTGTGTTTAAGTTGAACAAATTTGTAATATCATTGTTTCCAGTTATGCAGTGGAATTAAAGTAGAGGATTTTTTTAGCAGGATCGAAGTGAAACTGTGTTTTTTCTTATTGTTTCTCTCCAATCTAAAAATAAGGACACCGTCAGATGTCCACGCAGACTTACTGTCAATCTGCGCGAGTTTTTCACTGTCCCGGGCGCCCATATATGGTCTGAGCGGCCCAGCCCAATGCTTGTCACCATTCAAGATGAACAACAAATGGTGATGTTTAACGATTCACTTTGATCATCCAAATCCTCGTGCATTGTATAAATGATGTGAGATCTTACGCTGCCTCGAGAGATGGATATTATGAATCTGCCTTCCACTTAGTAAATCCAATTACTCAACTCAAGGAAACTTATTAGGTCTAGACATTATAAGAATTGACAGAGTGAGAGCTCTTTCATTTTTTATTTTTTTTCATCAAGGTGTCCGCTTTCGACGACTATTCCTTGGTCTGTGATCCGGCCTTTCTTCACACAGACCAATTAAATCGCGGTATGTGCCTTCTACTGATCAGGGTCTGAGTGCCTCTCCAATTGAACTGTCAAAGTGCTTAGTAAGTCAACCCACGTTGTGCCTTGCCTTCCAAGACATTCCTGTCTTCCAGTATATGCCTTGCCTTCCAAAAGCCCCACGAATCGAACCCACGGTTTCTGAACTGTCAGCTTTAAGAGAGCTCTTCTTTTGTCAGTGGAGAAGCGCCCCGGGGGGCGAGTGAGAGCTCTTTCTTGATTCTATGGGTGATAGTGCATGACTTTTCTTGGTGACATCCAGCTTCTTAGAGGAACTATGGCCTCAGGCTTCGAAAGTTTTGAGGCAATAATAGATATTTGATGTCAGATTTTTCAGGCTGCACAGTTGCTACTTTGATGTATGTATTCAACGTGTTTATAGCATCGGCTGATTACAGCCCCCTTTGTGCTTCCATATAACATTTCTTTCGAGCAAACGTGAGGATCAATTTGATCACATATTTCTTCTCACTTTGATCACCTGTTCCCACAATTCGATTTTTGTTACTTTATTCCATAATTCAGAAGCAAGAGAAATTACACATTAAGACACCTTAATGTGAAATTTTGGAATTAAAATTTGAGCTCAACAAATCCATTTTCATGTTACAATAATTGTGTTGTAACATTGGGAACTGAAAATCGGAAAGCTCTAAAAAGTGAGAACACGATTCTGCATGAAGAATGGTGAAAATCAATGGTGAAAAAGTATATATAAACCAGTTCTAACAATTATTCTCCGTTAAACAACGAAAGCACATTGCAAGAAAATGCTCCAACACCTCCCGACAGCTTTTCTAGGTCATTTGAACATAATCCAAAACTACATGCGTCCAAATGGAGATTTCTTCTCATGGTAGAAACTAAAAAATAATAGTAACTTATTCAAATTCGCCATACGAGAACAGAAACAAAGATAAGAAGCCAGAAAACACAGCCCAGAAGTACATTAAATATCCGAGTGCTCCAACTAGCTTTCGACATTAGGCCTCTTCTTGAGGGAGTAAGGATAGTACTCCTTGCCATTATCAATTCTTGTGGTCTGACCTCCAGCATCAATGACAGCAGAAGTCACTGCAAGTGCTGCTCCCGCAGAGATTGCTGAGGATATGCTCCTTCCTGTGGAGCATGATAAATACAAAAGCCCAAAATTATAAACACCATTCTAATGTATTGCCCCTAAATGGAAATAGAACATTCTACCTTAAACTTGGCCTGCCTTTTCAAGTCCAAAATGAGAGGGAAAATGGATAACTTCATATATTAGGACAGTATCAGGACGTAAGCTAGCCAAAATAACATCATTACCAATGCAGGTTTATTCAGGCAGGATATTAGCATTTGTTTCAATACAGTAGAGTAAAATTGTAAGGCTTGATAAGCATCTAAAACTATGGAAGATAGAATGAGGGTATGGCAGCCGTGTTAACAATGAAGATTCAGCCATACACCCTTGGGGATAAGAACAGAATAATTAACTCCTTTACTCGAATAACAAATTATTTAATATATAAATAAAATTAAATGAATCAATCTTCTCTTAAACACTTTTTGATGAGGTCATTCAATATACAGTATCAGAGCTGAGAAAGGTCCTAGATTTGAGCCTTTCATCACCGATTTCTGAGAAAAAGTCGTGTCGTGTTAGACCCAGTCAAACTGATGCAGGATGAGGGATGATTCCTGGAGAATAATTAGAAATAGCAAAATAGCACAACTAGCAAGTAGAATTCCAGCGAGGAGAAGAAGAAGGCAGTAAGAAGGGGGAAAGGGCTGGAGAGAAAGGGGGGAGAAAACCAGAGAAGAAGTAGAAATCAGGGGAAAGGGGAGAATGAGGAAGCCATAGGCAACAACCCAAGCATTCTATTCTTTAATTCATCAATTCATCAACTGTCTCAAATACGCAACAAAACAGAAATAAATAACAAAACAAAAATCCTAAAGAGAAGGACTTGGGTCAAACCCGCTAAACAAACCCAATAACAGAAATATAAATAATAATCCAAATAGAATATAACTAATAGTCCAAATAGAAAATAAATAGTAAATGGAAGAAAATAAATAGTAAATGCTTTGATGCAGGATGAGGGATGATTCCTGCAGAATAATTAGAAATAGCAAAATAGCACAATTAGCAAGTAGAATTCCAGCGAGAAGAAGAAGAAGGCAGCAAGAAGGGGGAAAGAGCCGGAGAGAAAGGGGGGAGAAAACCAGAGAAGAAGTAGAAATCAGGGAAAAGGGGAGAAGAAGGAAGCCATAGGTAACAATCCAAGCATTCTATTCTTTAATTCATCAATTCATCAACTGTCTCAAATACGTAACAAAACAGAAATAAATAACAAAACAAAAACCCTAAAGAGAAGGGTTTGGGCCAAACCCGCTAAACAAGCCCAATAACAGAAATATAAATAATAATCCAAATAGAATATAACTAATAGTCCAAATAGAAAATAAATAGTAAATGGAAGAAAATAAATAGTAAATAAATGTCCGCATCACAAACGAAACCACCAAACTGCCATGGCACAGAAGGCCTCCCAGCTGAAGACAAGAAGGGCTATCTAGAGGCCAAAACAATGTGTAAGTCTATCTTGGAACGATCTGGAAAGGTGGCAGACCCATAATTGTCAAGAGAAGGACCATAAGCCAATTTGGATCTGTAGAGGTCCAAATTCATACAATACAGTTCGTAAGATGTTTCTCAAGCTGGATAGAAGAGCTTGGACAAGGAAGCTGAGTTCAACCTTGCTCAATTTGGCATCTGTGCTGTCACTACTGACCTAAAGCACAAGCTTGCCAAACATATCAAACAGGGCATGGCACATCACAGGATGTGACATGATATTGGCGATATGATATAGCAACACTGCAATTGTAGAACATGGCTGCTTTACCTCACCCACTAAACCATTCAACTAATATGCGGTGCAAGGTGAGCGCATGAGAGAAATTCCAAAACCTATAAACACTGTTGGATTTACTACTCTTCTACAGTAAAACCTGCCGGGATCACCAATCCTCAGTTTCCACTTTCCAGTGGTCAAGTAGACTCTAAGGGTGTGTTTGATTTGGAAAATTTTCCATGGAAAATGGCCTTTTTCCACCCAAATTTCAACTTTTGGAATGTTTGATTGCCATTTTTCCCATGGAATATATTTTCCTAACTTAGAAAATATGTTTAATTTTCCTTATTTTTGAGGAAAATATTTTCTTTTGTGCGAGGTAGGATTCTGTTTTCCTCAAAACAAGGGAAACATTTTCCATTCCAATTAAACACGCTCTAAATGTTCTATTTTGCATAATCTAGTATATTTTAATGGCAAACAATTGACTAGGAGATGATTTGAACGTAAATGTCAAGTATTTGAAGAAAAAACAAATGCAGCCTAGAGGTTAGGGTGTGGTGAAGATATCAATAAATGAAAGTCAGTTTACACTTTTGGACAAAGTGGTCCTTTAATACACATAATCATCAAAAACTATAAAAACTGAGAACTTACATAAATGTCTCGTTATAAAATTTAAAAAAGAAAAAGAAGAAACATTTAGTCCAAAGAAAACTTTTCAGGACATACAAGTCTTTTAGAAATATTTGTTAATATCAATGTTACTCCCTCCATCCCACAGAAATAAGCTTGCTTCCATTTTTACACGGACCAAAATTTAATTAGCCTATGTTTGGCCTCCATTTTTTCAAAAATTCTATCACACATTCTCCCATAAAATAATTTTACACGTAAATCCAATTTGTGCTTATTTTTTATCCACACATTCTCCAAAAACACTATTTCAAAGTACATTTTCGTTCCAAAAATGAGACTCAATCAGGGCCTCAATATAGTTAGAACAATAAATTTTACTAATGTTTTTCCTAATATACCCCTACAATGAGTCCTGGTTTAAATAAAAAATTGTTTATATTTGTTATAATAAATACGAGCATATTAGAAAAAACTAATAAATCAATTATATTCTCTTAATTAAGAAAGTGAACTATAATTTTTGACAAAAGAATAAAGACAGCAAGCCTATCTTTATGGGACAGTGGGAGTATTTTTTTGTCATCAGCATTATTTCTTCACCTATTCCAAATTTCAAAATGCAGATAATATGTACAACGATAATTGAGAACACAAGTGGAATTGAACAACTGAATCATTCATTTTGTACACTAAAATACATTCAAAACGTTCAAGTTTTGTAATATTTTGGTTCTAACTTATTGAAGAATGTGAAAACCATATAGACAGATACAATAAAATAAAAATCGAGCGAGAGAGAGAACAAAATTATTAGTTTATCCCGTATAATAACTTAGTAGTCTTAAAAAAGTTTTACATGACTATCTTTTGAATTGCTAAGGCTCATATAAAATTTTCCCAAAAAAAATATAGAGTGCATACTTGGCAGGATGAATAGCTATAATCAATTAAAAATATCTTATATATGGCAACTGCCAAGTATGCCAGCAATGCAAATGATTCCGTTCCTATGTTCATAAATATTTAGCAATGATGCCTGAAAAGCGTTTGAATTGGCTCTTCTGAAGGTGGAGAAAAATAGGTGAGAACAGCACAAAAACCTTATTTAGAATTACCATGTCTTGTCCCGTTAGAAAACTTAAAGATCATATTCCCGAAATGCAAGTAAGAGGCTGACACAACAACACATTACTACATGCACATATTATCACACATCAGTGTACAAGAAAACACTAGAAATTATCTTAAGATAGCTGATAAAAATGTAGGCCTACCATTGCTTAATTGAAAATGAGCATATTGCGCTTATAAGCAAATGGTATACATTTTAAGATAAGGGCACAGTTGTTTAGATAGAGATGCTTATTGTAGAAAATAAGCACCTATTGTGTGGACAGTGAATGGATAACATGCTTCATTTTTTCAAAATGACCAAATGGATATTACATGATTACATCAAATTTTTAGATGGCAGTGGAGGAGATGGCGAGGTGTAAGGAGGAGATTTTAGTGGCAGCGAGGGTAAGGTGGGGATTAGGGTTGCATGAGAGGTGGAGAGATATCCGAAGACATTGGGCGGCTGGGAGGTGGGCAAGGTCATCTGGGAGTGGTAGAGGGGATTCTGATGATCGATTGTTGGGGTGGAAGAATATGGAGACAGGATAAGGCTACCAAGCGGTGGTTGAGGGATGGATTGGTGAAGAGGATTATGAGTGGCGGATGGAGGAGGCATGCTTGAGAAATTTATGCAGATGTACTAGATCAACTACGCCATCTTGTTGATTAAAGTGCATAAATACATAAAAAGGGCTGGGGGTGATCAACTTGGTCTCTGGGTGCTAATAAGAGAAAAGTTGGTTATAATCGTATTTGATAACTTCACCAGAGGAATATTGCATGGGAAATGTCATGTCATAAAGTTGTAATTATTGACTAGAAGAACCACACTATATAATGCAGGAGAAGATTTCACCTTTATAACCCAGAACGGAAGCACCAGCAACAAATCCACCAACAGCACCGTTTACAAAGTCTCTTTTCATCCTATACTTCTGCATCACCTGGTCGACACCAATGTAGACTCCACCAACAGCAGCAAAAGTCATCCCATAATTACCCATCATCTTCAATGTCCTAATTAGACCTGGAATTGCAATTCTCCTCTCAACTCGAGGCACATCATGCCAGGTAGCAACAATGGTACCCCAAATTGTGCCTGCAACTAGACCTGAGGTTGCACCCTTAATAGTTTTCATCATTGGACTTGTTTCATCTTCCATCTGTCTAAGCTCTGCCTGATCCATAGCTACTTTCCAACTAGAAAACAACGTATACTGTAGAGAATAATCACTTCCAATTTAAAGATAAAAATCAGTCCTGAAAAAGTGCTATTTCTCCCAATAATGTTTACCGAGTCAAATGTCAAGATGTAGCAAAATATTAACATACACAGTACAAAATATAAAAGCAAAATAATTACTAGGGCCAGCCTGACATGACAATGCCAGAACGATTTAGAAACATGGCGATTCAATTATTAACGTATTTACATGAGTAACAAAAAAAAACTAGAGAAGACATTTCTGCTAATACTGATAAGAACATTAGCCAACTCGATATTCAACATTAATCCTCTCTTGTACTTAGAACAGGTTGTTTTTAATGGATAAATCAATTTCTGAATACAGAAAATTTAATAGTATTCTGCCCTCAACAATTTATTTTTTACAATATTACCCTTTTATGTTGCATACAGCATTAAGAAATCTGAAACCTATGGAAAATAATTACTTAAAATGAATAGAAGCCATAAACCCCCTTTTAACAATTTTACCCAAAAGTCAGCCTCCCAATTCCAACAACTAGATATCCAAATTTTCAAAAATCATATTTTTACCTGCACTGGATTAGCACCTCCACCAAACCTACAGTTCCCAAATCCAATCAAACGGGATCACGATTTGACTAACAATTATATACCAATCTAACACCTCTAATTTGAGAAAAGCTAACTACTTTTTAACGTTTTATTGGATAAATTTTCCATCTTTAAACATCGGCCCTAGAATTTAATCTTACATTTCTTCCTTCAATAATTATAAATAGTAGTGGCCAAATATCCATTTGCGGAGGCGCGTGACGCGTGTAACAGTGCGCATACGCCGCGTTCTCTGCTCGTAAAAATTAATGGAAGCATCGATTTCGTAGAAAGGAAAGTTGATGCTTACCTGAACTGGTAGTGATCTGCGTGGAGAGAAAGATTGATTATCCGGTAGGATAGCGCGACAAAGCCCGAAAAGCCAAAAAAAAAGAATGTTCTATATCTTCGAGTTTCTTGTTTTGATGCTATTTATGTTAATTGTCCTCAAATAATTGGGCAATTATCTCATAGTCCAGTCTTAAAACCGGCCCAGCACATCAATAACACGACAACTCAACGGCGTATGTTATCACACGATGACTGATAAGCCAGTCGAAATTTATTAAAGGGTACTTTCACATATCATATATTTTAGGATAGAAAAAAAAAAGAATGTTCTATATCTTCGAGTTTCTTGTTTTGATGCTATTTATGTTAATTGTCCTCAAATAATTGGGCAATTATCTCATAGTCCAGTCTTAAAACCGGCCCAGCACATCAATAACACGACAACTCGACGGCGTATGTTATCACACGATGACTGATAAGCCAGTCGAAATTTATTAAAGGGTACTTTCACATATCCTATATTTTAGGATAGTTTTGAAAAAACGTGATAAACTTATATTAAATGGTAAATTCTTTAAATTGAACGCAAAATAAACGCTGACCTAAAGCACGACGCAACTTGTCAAAAATAGCCTCCAATCTCGAAAAATTAAAGGAAAAAGAAGAAATCTTTCACACATCAAGCATAAACAAGATAGAGGTTGCTTCAATATTCATTCTTTAATGTTCTCTTCTCCAAATGTGAAAATACACAAACAAAATTAAGGTTTCTATGTTTTGGACTATTTCTTTAATTAGATTTGGTTGAATATTATAATGTAAATAATTGGCATTTATGAAGTTTCTTTTTTTCTTTTTCCTTTTTTTTCCTTTTTATCTTTTTGTTGTGATCGGAAACGTGTTTGAAAATAACATTGTTGAACTTGAGAGGAACGAATTTATGCATACAATGTGTTTGATCAAAAGAGAATGTGAAAAATTGACATTCTATAATTTTTCTCAAAGAAGTAATAGTATTTCATTGGAGTAACTAACTGGATGCATACGTCTACAATTTTGGAAATTTTAACATAAGAATTTAGACATTGTTTTATGTTAATACATATGAAAAAAATTTAGATTGATGCATGCAATGTATTTGCTCAAAAGAAAATGTGAAAAAGTGATATTCTGTACTTTTTTAGAAATTAGTCACAGTATTTTATTAGAGCAAGTAACTATATACATGCAATTTCGTTTGTTGAAACTTGAACCTACAAATTCAAACCTTGTTTTATATACATAAAAAGAAAATTCTAAATTAATTAAATTGAAACATGCAAGATGTTTGCTCAAAAGGAGAATAAAAAAGTGACATTCTACCACTTTTTCCTAAAAAAAAAAAAAGTAAAATATCTCATTGGAGCAATTAACTAGATGCATATGTGTACATTTTTGAAAATTTAAATATACGAATTTAAACATTATTTTTATGCTAATAAATATGAAAAAAGAAAATTTTGAATAAATTAAATTGATGTATGCAAGTGTTTGCTCAAAAGAAAAATGTGAACCAAAAAACAAAAAAAATCACAGTATTTTATTGGAACAATTAACTATATATACATGCATGTACGTTTTTTGAAATTTGAACCTACAAATTCAAACCTTCTTTTATATTAATACACATAAAAAAAGAAAATTCTGAATCAATTAAATTGATACATGCAAGATGTTTGTTCAAAATGAGAATAAAAAAGTGACTTTCTACCACTTTTTTCTAGCCATCTTTTCTTTAAAAAAAGTCAAAATATCTCATTGGAACAATTAATTAGATACATATGTGTACATTTTTTTAAATTTAAATAGACGAATTCAAACATTATTTTATGTTAATACAGATAAAAGAAATTAAATTGATGCATGCAAAATGTTCACTCAAAAGGAAAATGTAAAAAAGTGATATTCTGTCACATTTAAAAAAAAAAAAAAAGTTAATAATATCTTGTTGGAGCAATCAACTATATACATGCATATGCGTTTTTTTAAAATTTGAACCAAATTCAAACCTTTTTTTATATTAATACACATAAGAAAGAAAAATTCTGAATCAATTAAATTGATACGTGCAAGATGTTTGCTCAAAAGGAGAATAAAAAAGTGACATTCCGCCACATTTTTCTAAAAAAGTCAAAATATTTCATTGAAACAATTAACTAGATGCATATGTATACATTTTCTAAAATTTAAATATACGAATTCAAACATTATTTTCATGTTAATACATATGAAAAATAAAACTTTGAATAAATTAAATTGATGCATACAAAGCGTCTGCTCAAAAGGGAAATGTGAAAAAAGTGAAATTCTAAAAAAGTCACGATTTTTTATTTGAGCAATTAACTACTTGCATGCATGTACGTTTTTGAAATTGATATTCAAACATGTTATATGTTAATATGCATGAAAAATAAAAATTTGAATTAATTAAATTGATGCATGCAATGTGTTTGTTCAAAAGGAAAATGAAAAAGTAACATTCTACAACTTTTTTCTAAAAAATTAGAGTATCTCATTGAAACAATTAACTAGATACATATGTGTGTTTTTTAAAATTTAAATATATGAATTCAAATTTGTTTTATGTTAATGCATATGAAAAAAAAAAACTTTGAGTCAATTAAATTAAACCATTAAGGTGTTTGAGAAAATGATAATATGAAAAAATGACATTATGTCACTTTTTTCTAAAAAAAAAAAAAAAGTCACAATATTTCATTGGAAAAACTAACTAGATGCATATGTGTGTATTTTTTAAAATTTAAATACACGAATTAAAATCTTATTTTAATCTTGCATTCAATCCATATCTCTTTGAATCAATTCAATTGATGCATCCAAGGTATTCCATCACTTTTCTCTAAAAAAGAATTACGATATCTTGTTGGATCAATTAATTAGATATATACGTGTGCATTTTTTGAAAATATAAATATATGAATTCAAACCTTATTTTAATTTTGTATTCAATTCATATTCAATTTAATTGATGCATCCAAGGTTTCTGCAAAAATAAGAATGTATTTTAATCTTGTATTCAATTCACATTTATTTGAATCAATTCAATTGATGCATTCAAGATTTTTGCAAAAATGAGAATATGAAAAAGTGACTTTTTTGTCATCTTTCTATGAAAAAGTGATAGAATTATCTTTTTTTCAATTTAATTTCTATTTTGATGTTACATTTTTTGGCTTACTTCCGAGCTATTTTCTTTACTATTAGGTAAGATTTTTGTTATCATTTCGAAGTATTCACAGTAAACTTTCAAATTTAAAATTTGATAAAGGACGAGTTCGAAATAACAAGTCAAAAAGCCCGCAAGAAATAGTGTTAGCAATTATTGTTTATTTTGTGTTCCATAATTAATGTGAGATAATTTTTAAAGTATAAATTTCGTCCATAACATATTTATCATGATCACATTGCAAGCTTTCTAACAAATTTGAACCATTTAAAATAGATAATCGTAGCGTAAAATATCGTATCAAACGAAAACAATAATAAAATTTTTAAAAAATGAAAAAAATATCTAAATGGAGGAATGTTGTCGTCTTTAAAATAATTTTCTTGATTTTCAGATGTTTTATATTTTTGGTGAACGTAAATAATACGGCTATTAAAATTTAAATTTGATTTAAGTGTATTAATCAATTTCTTATTATTATTATTATTATTTTTTAAGAATATGCTCAACCTATTTGAAAGTGATTTTTTGGCCCAAGAAATTGATTTTTTGACCGTTATTTCACTATTCCAGCCGTCATATTTAACTTCTTCTATCACAGGTGGACTTCACTTTTCTCTTAACGGTCAAAAAATCAATTCTCAAAATTACTCCCAAACATGCTCGCTATTTGTAAATAATACAACACACCTCGCTGACCCTTACTTCGTCTAATTTCCTCCCCAAAAAAAAAAGTTATAATACACAAAACACTGAAAAAATCACTATTTTTTTCTGAAAGAATCTAAATTTTTGCGATAACAAAATGCAAAATGCAGATGAAATCAGAAATCTTCCAATTGACATCTCATTTGGTCGACTCGGAGGTAAAAATGTGTAATTTAAACGTCTATGCTGCTGTTTTCTATTAATGATTTTCTGGAAAATTTATTAAATTCCTTTTTTTTTTGTGTATTTTATTTGGATTTAAAATGAAGAATGGTTGATGGATCGGAAGAGAATTTGATCGGATTGGAGGAAACGATTGGCGGGGATGAAAGCGAAGATTTATTTGTGTATGAATGCGCGTATCATTATAATATGCATTATTTAATTTTGTCATGGCCATTTTTATTATGAGATCACAATAAATTTTCAGGAATTGGGTACTTGGAAGCGAAGCAAATATATGAAATTCTTCTAAAGGCGACTCCAGAAAGCCGTAACATTTTTTGCCGGCTTTCAGGTGCTGCTGTAAGATCTACAAAACAGTCACTTTTATATCTCCGAGTGTAATGGTGCTCAACACATTTGCTTCACAAAGGGGTTGTAAAATGTGTCCCGATCTTTGACTGGGGTAATTGTTGAATATTTGTTCAAAATCAATGGAATGATAATGGACTAATTGTTGGGCTCAATTGTGGAATTGGTAGAATAAAAAAAATTAAAAAAATACAAAATTTAATTTTTTGCCTATGTGTACATACTGGCTTAATTTTGTGCGTACACGAGATGTTTTTTGGTAAAATCAGAATTAAATTTTGCTTCTACTATGCATACGTATAGTGTTAAAAAATAACTGTTGGCTGATTTTTCAATTTGAAACTTGGGAGTCGTTTTGAATTAAAAGTTGCCACTTTTCATCTTATTTTGGTACCATTTCGTGATATATTAATTGAGACCTATAAATAGGTGATGAAAGATCAATACAAACATTATTAGAATTATTGAAAACATCTTGAGATCCATATATCATTCCATATTGAATTAAACTATTGATTTATATTCATATTCAAGATCTTCATTTGTGTTCTTAAATTTTTAGAGGATTGCACTTGTATTTAGATGTTAAATCCTTTATAATGTTTGATATAATCTTACAAACTGTTTGCCAAAACCCTTAAGCATCTCATTCAATCCCGAGAGGGGGCAATATAGTTT